AGAGGGAGAGGGAGGGGGGGGGGGGGGGCTAGCGAGATTGGGAGGGAGGCGAGTGAGATAGTCATGTATCTTAGATATATGTGAATCACACTATATATATATGTATTTGTATATATCTGGTGTGATTCACGGGTATTTGGGATACCATAGGAGAGTGGTGAACAAATTTGTTATGTATCTCAGATACATGTGAATCCACTTGGATACAGTATATTTAGAACAAATTACACCTAATTTTGACTCATGTATCCCGAGATACATGTATATGAATGCACCAAAATCTAGTAAAATCCATAATATTACAAATTAGAGTGTATCTAAGTAATTAATTTCTACACTAATGACATGATTTCTGTAAGTTTTTCAATTTTTTATAAGATATTTATTTGGACGTTGTCATTTAAGTTGTATCAATTTTATAAAAATACAATTTAACTAATATCCACTACACTGACCAACATTTCCCATTGATACATTATTATACATACATTGAATATTGAGGTTTTTTCTTTTATTAATCTTTTTGGAATCTTCATTTTATTTTTTCAAATTTCAACATCTATTTGTGATTCTTCTGAGGTGAAGTATAGTTAGTGGATTAGTTGTTATTGCTCACATCTTTTTGATTGTTGCTTCACACACATTTTCTTGCATATGATATGGACAACTTCAAACATATTATGTATCCAATTTTAGTTTTATATTTCTAAAGTTGGGCCAAATATATATTTCCTGACCTTATATTAAAATATCTGAATTCTGACCTTGTTAAGGCCACAATTCCAATAAAAATATTGGAATATTATGATAGTAACTTCAGTAAAAAAATATCGGAAATTGACTTGGTAAATTATTATATGTTTGAAATTTTGCCAAGGTCATAATTTTAGTAGAAATCTTTGAAGTTTGACCTTGTCAAGTTCATAACTTCAATAAATTAAAATGTCTGAAGTTAACTTTGGCAAGAGATACAAAACTTCAGTAAAAAATATTCAATGTTTGTCTTTCACAAGGTCACACTTTCGACAAAAGTATGTCAAATCAAACGAAAATTTTAAAATTAAGTCGTGTATATTTAAAAGTTGTATCCAAAATGAGTAAACTTGCAATATTCTTTAAATATTATAGATAAATTAAATGACGATAACAGAAAATAATATATGTTATACACTTCACACGCCAATTCTTCTTAAGAAAAAAATATTCAAATTTGTCTTTTGTCATGGTAATCAATGTCGTTTCGACATATGATATATATCCTAATAAATAATCCTTGGGGCAATTTCTTGATTAAAATCCATACAATCATTCTTCTATCACCATCTAATTAAGAGACACATTTTGAATGACATCAAATATAAACATTCAATGTTTACTCTAGTTTGATCCGAGAATCTTCCGAAAACCTCTTTACCTCCACGAGATAGTGATAAAATTTGTGTGCATTCTATCCTCTCCAGATCCCACTAATTAATTGAATTTCATTGAATATGTTGTTACGTTTTGTAATATCAAGAACACATGTTGGTAAAGGGAGAATGAGATAGATACGTATGGTTCATAAGGTTTAAAACAAAATAAATAAAAATATCTACTTAGTTCATTGTGTGCGTTAGGAAAGGAGTATAGTACAAAATTCTTAATTCATGAATTTAATTAATTATCGGGTTTTGCAAGTCAAGCTTTTACTATTTGATATCTTTTTTGAAATTGAAGAAATTTAACTAAACATGCTCTACAAGGTATGATGTTCGTATTAAAGAGTCTCATATTAGATGAGAAATGAATGAACAATTTTCATATATGACTTACAATTCGAGCTAGTTTTTGGAATTGAGTAAACCTCAACATCCATTTCTTTACGTTTACTTACTCAACTCTGTAAAATATGAAAAATATATAATAAAGAAGTATTGAAAAACTCTGAAGGTGGCGCAATTTTTTAGTTTCGTCGTCAAACTATTGACAGCCTTAAAAACACTCCTCTATTTGACTAACTAAATTTAGATATACCTCTGATTTGCTACATGACATAACAAGTGTTCTCAAACTCTTGTAGGAGCATGAGACTCTTAATAAAAAAAACTAAGAGCAGTGTTGAAAACGTTCCTAAACTTGACGAGAATATAGAAATGTATTTCACTCATGTTCCAAGATTAGTATTGTATTTAGATTAAGTTACCCAAGTAAAGAAGTGTTCTTAAAACTGTCATACCAAATTTAAGAATATTTTTAATACGTCAAAATTTGACATGAATTTACCTTGATTGGACTATAAATTTATTAGATTGCTTTGGATAAGGGATCCAGTTTTCTCAGTTTGTAAATTATTTGTTCTGAATATATAGCAGATATGACAGCAATAGATGAGTAACAGTATGGGCCTATGGCCCATTTGTCAAATTTTATTGAAAACAGATCCATGAACAACAATCACAACCATCAAGGCAGGAAATGAAATGGTCCAGATAAGGACCCTGTGCCTTCTGTCAATTTCTTCCACTATGAAAATTATTCAATTGAAATTGAAATATGAACAATATAATATAAAAGTTCAATATTAAATATACAATGATAAAAAGGGAAATTGAATCTAATTTAGCTCTGAAGAATAGTTCATGGTTTAAGGATGGCTCAAGAAATAAAAAAAAAACTATTTACTATTGTATTATTTTCTTCATTTGTCTTTACTTATCTACTATTTAAAAAATAAATTCTCATTTTTACTTGTCACTTTTAATATATTAAAATATATTAATTATTTGTTTCTATTTTATCCTTAATATTAATTATTTATTCCTTATATCCTTTCTCAAGGAGTAAAACTATCAATTAATAGGGATGACAATTGGACAGTTGAGTCAAATTTAGACGGGTCATAATGGGTTAAAACAACAATCGGGTCAAGATCCAAGCCAATCTAAATTTACTTTGGTTAAAACGGGTTAGGTAATAGGTTATATAATGGGTCAAGACCCAACTCAACTCAATTTTTACTAAGTTTAATTATTTTATTTGTTCTTTTAAACTATTTTAGTACTTAATAATTTTTTTTTTTATTATGACTATATTTAACATATTAAATTGAAAAAAAAAATTAAAATATTTTGACAAAATTTCTTATAAGCCAATTGAGGTTACATATCAATCCAATATTTAATAGGTTGAAATGAGTTGAGCTAATAAATATACGGGTCAATAACTCGCCTAAATTTAAACAGATTAAAAAGATGTACAAAGTTCAAAATGGATATAGTAAAAATGAACGGATAGAATATTATCGAAAGGACACTAAAAACAAAAAATAAATAGACCGCTTTACCTAATTGATAACTTTTTCCAACCTCACATAATTATATTGGCTTAAAAGATTATAATTATAAAATAATCTCCAATTATTTTCCTATAAATACTAACCTCTTGACATTTGTCTTTCTTCAACTAGAGAAAACCTTTTTTTTTTCTTTTCTCTAAAAAAAAAAAAAAAACTAATGGCTTCCCAAAAAGTAATCACTGTCATCACTACTTCCTCCGATATCTCCACCGGAGATTCACACCCGCCGGCGAATTGTCCGAAAGGACACTGTTTGTGCTCTCCGACGACCCATCGAGGGTCGTTCAGGTAATTTTAATTAGATAATCAATGGCGTAGTCAGAATTTTCATTCAATTTCTACGGATGATGAATTTGTTTGTTATGAGAGACATTCATGATTTGAAATTTTTAATTTTTTTGTGATTTCAAATTAATTTTTAGTTTTTACTTTAATAATTATTCGAATCAAACCATCATCAAGGAGGACAATAAAGTTTAAGCAAGTTTCATTTCAAACACCCATCAAGAAATTACTTGTTACTAAAATTCTCGATAAATATTTTATCTACGTAAAATTTTTTTTTACTGAATTTTCGAAAACTCTGTACTTTAATCCTCCTCCACTTGTTTTGTTCGTTAAAAAATTACATTACGTAAATACCGGAAGATGATGGTTTTAGTTTTTAAGAATATATATAAGAAATTATTTAACGTTATATATATTGTGTTATTTTTCGATGATACTTTTTTCTCCGTACGTCTTTACCGAATATGGAAAAAATATATACTCTTGTTGTTTTAGTTTGAAGTTTGAAGATCAAACTAACTAATGTTCGGTAATATTAGGTGCAGGTACCACCGTACCTCTGGTGAGACAACAAGTACTGCATGGTTCAAGAGATCAAAATCCATGCCTGTTAATAAGAATAATAATTTGTCATCAATTTCTCCTAAATCAGTTGAATCTACTTAATTAATTACTAGTAATTTGTACTTTTTCCTATATATATGTTTCAGTTTTACTGGATAAATGGAAAAGTACTTGTTTTTTGTTTTCTTTGAATATGTACAGTATAGACTTTGATATTGTGTTTTTTTGGCGGAATCAAAATTTGAAGTGTATAAGTTATGAAAATTTTCATTAGCTTGTTTAAGTTACTCGGGTTACAATTAATATTTATATTTATTTTTTCTGATTTTTTTATACAAATATAACATTTAAGAAAAAATTATTAAATTCGTTTGAATTTGTACCTATTCTGCCTTACAACTTACAAGTTACGAGCTTACCTTAGGTTACTACATGTATAAAAATTTGTGAAGGCAAAGGTGGTTATGACATGATTTGATTTAACTTCGAAAAATATACATTTAAAATTAAGTTAAAATGTTTATCTGATTAATTGTGATTGAATGTGAATATAAAGCCGAATTTTGTAAATGTAAAATTAAGAAAAAATAATCTTAAAACATATTTTTTTTTTCAAGTTGAAATAATGTATTATTTTAATAAAAAAACATTTATTTAAAATAATTTTTAGATATTATTTAAACATTTCAAATTTTTATCTTATTCGTAGTCAAATGGCTCCTAATCTTTTGTGCCTTTTTTTTTTTTGGAGATGGCATCAGTATAATGATTCATGTTTTCTTTAATGTGAGTATTACTTTGAAAGCTTTTAATTTATTATAATAGCATAATAGCCATTGCTTACTCAACACTTATCAATTATCATTGACTAGAAATTAATAATGGATAAGATAAAAAATAATAAGAGTGGTTGTTGAAGTTGTTTGATGTTCAATTAGTGATAATTCACAAATACATTTTTTTTAATTAAAATTTGAAACTGATTTTTTATAATTAGAAATAGTCACTCTTATATCTTTGAAGTTTTACTTGTACAATTGAAAATTGCAAAATAGTGATTATTTTTCAAAAAAAATTAAAAAGCAAATTATAAACACAATATATATGATCTAGACATATGAAAACATGTTTTATATACCTTCTCATGTTATATTCAATTTCAAATAGCCTTCATATTTTTCTTTAATATATTTACTATGCAATTTTCACTTTAGAAATGATATATATAAAATTTCCTCTATCTATTTTGTATTACTTTTTCACAGCATTTTAAATTGCGATCGCTTCAACAATTATGATTTTTCACAAATTCAATTAGGGATCAATGGACGTGAAGCAACACACCTTGCTATTCATAATAACCAAATCAATACTTGTCTTCTTAAATTTACTACTTCCGCTATTTTGTATTAACTGGATTTTTGGGGAGTTTTTCATTGTTTAAAATAATTGAATTGTTCAAAGTTTACGATATGTTTGAAATTTTTTTTGTATTTATCCTTTCCTTTAATGAAGTTTGATAATTTCTAGGAGACAAATTGCACTATTTATAAAGTTACATCTCTTTATGATTTCACAAAGAATAATAGTGGAAACTAGAAAATATGATTTAAAGTATGTCTTTAAATATTTTCTTGATAAGTGTGTATTATCTCACAAATTCAGTTAAATATGAAATAGATGGATGATGGTGATTATTATGATTATTATTATTATTATGTGGGGTAGGGTGAGTGAGAAATGCCATCAATTATTGTAAACCAACTGAATAGAACCTTAGTAGCTATTATAGCATGGGACCAATTTTATTATTTTATTTTCATAAAGACGTGGGAATCTATGTTTTCATTAACTATCACGCAATTGGAGGGAGGAAAATATTTCAAAATTATCTTCATTGTTCAAAGTGGATAATACAACAATTTTTTTTGTGATCAAATTCATTTGATGGATATCTTAATTATAATACTAAATAAATTAAAAGAAAAAGGATAAATTTAAAATTGATAATGAATATGAAGTGAGTCACTTGATAGATATATATCATACTATAATATTAAGATGCTCTATATGTTGAAAATGACTTATGGGAAGAAGAAATTGGACACCAAATAAGGAAAAAAGGTGTGTATCCACACCATCAACCAACTAACTAATTTCATCGCTATGGATTGTGGTGAGATGGTTCGGAAGTCTTCCACTCTAAGCTAGAGTGGGATCTAGAATTTGGAGGTCCTGGGTGTCACATCGCTCAAGTTAGATAAATGGGTCGATTGCTTTAATTTTGAGTTACAATTCGAGTTATTATTCTTTTCGATTTTTATAAACAAATCGATCAAACATGCATGTTAGTAATATTTTCTTTGAGATATTCTGTGATTTGAGATAACTAAACAATTCAAATTTTTTTTTAGGAAGTAAAGGCCTTATTCACTTAGACTTTTGAGGGAAAAAAAAAATTTCACATTAAAATTTGAGCTTGTATAAATCATCTTATAGTGTTAACTGAATATATTCATATTCCATTGACTTTATGTGTTGTTGTAGATATATAGTAGAGAGAATAAAATTGTAGTTTCAACCTAGTCATCTTACTTAGCAAGAATGTCGGTGAAGATCGAAAGAACCTTTAAATTGAAAGACCTCTAGTAATAATATTCATCATTTTTAAAACTTATATTTTTTAAAAATGACTATTTTAATACATTCTTAATAATATTTATCAATAATTAGTGAAATTTTAAAAAAATTAAGAATTAACTACGGTGAAAATGCGTCAATTTGAATTAATAAAGTATAGTAAATAAATAAGAATGAATGGAGAAAAAAAACTAAAGCCCTTCACACATTAATAATAATAAAAAAAAGCTTCACACGTATGGCATATCATGCCCTTCGCCACTTGAACCATTCATCACTTTGTTCAATGGGTGACCAAGTTAATATATATTAATTTCTGATACATATATACATATATATACAAAGATTTTCCCGAAATCACTGGGTGCCGTGGCACCCCCACCCGTACCCTTCGATCCGCCACTGCTCTTAGCTAGAGGTCTTATATTTAGTCCACCCCTGCTATGATTTTTTTTGTTGGAACGTTATTTTCAGAAATAATCCCCTAATGCATGAATTCGAATTTAATCAGATTTCCATGCAGATATTGCATATTGAATGAGAAATATAAAAAAAAACTAACTAATTTCTCTCATAAGGGTGTTAAAAAAAGATTTTTTAGTATGAATTTGATAACTAAGTAAAATATAAAAGATAAACTTTTACTTCTTATTTAACGACAAATGAGGGACCAAAAAAATATTATTATTCCATATAAGTATATTCACTAAAAGATTTCATTAATTTTAATATTCATATCATAATTTACACATTAGGATATATATATATATATATATATATATATAACTTGTCTAGATAACACCTCAAAAATCTTTTAGAATAAGGAATTACTATTTTTGCAAAAGTTATCCAAAGAATAGGATATATTCCTAGTAAGATGATACACTTCTTTGATAATTGAGCCACTTATTTGTCCTTTGGCTTAGTTGCTTCGTTTAATGACCTATTCTGATTTGACTCGGAATTTTTTAAAAAATAATTATTTTTTAAAATTTTATGGTCTTAAATTAAAGATATAATAAGATATTAAAATATTTATTAATACTATGAGCTTAAACCTATCATGTAGAAAATTGAAATACAAAATTTATTAAAAAATAAATTATTTTTTAAACGAACTAAAAAAAAAAAAATCAAACAAATTAAAATGGAAGGAGTATACAACTCTTGAGTGTGTCTTTTGTTATTATCACATAGTGGAGTGGAGATGGAATTGATTACGATCATAAAAGAACAACTAAAGTATGGCACGCTTGCTATGGTTACTAAGGTTACGTGAAAGTCGAAGATTTATTGAAAATATCCTTTCATTTTTATTTTCATAATAAATTCACATCTAGAAAATAAATAAAAAATAGTGACAACAAAATTTTTATAGAGTGGATTAGCAACGGAGAAAATTTAATTAGCTCGGAGCTTTTTGACAATGTATTAAATTACTTATCCTCTCAAATTTTCCATCGTCATTTTCAAGAACCATTTCGAAGTCAAAAAATTTATTAAGAGTTTTCAAAATTTAATATATTTAATTAATTACCTTTTAATCAACATAGCTCTGCACTTCACTACTTCTAACACGTCGTAATAGGTAATGTTTTTTTTTAAAAAAATAAAAATTCTACGTTACTAGTTTCGCTTTTTATAGACAATACTTACATGCATATAATAATCTCTAAACTAAGTTGGTGTTATTAGAACTTTTAAGTACATAGAAATAACTCTTTTGAGTATATTCTTCTGAAAAATAGAATAGTTGGGTGCACTAAACTCCCGCTATGTGCAGGATCTGAAAAGAATATCAAATTACAATATCCTATTCCAGGCAATACTCATCTATTTCTAAAAAAAAAAGGTTCACCACTCGACTTCCTGACCTCCTGATCACGTGACGATATTGATCATTTGAAATTCTTGTTTTTTTCATTCTTTACAAAGGATAGTGTCTTCATGTGCAAAAAGTGACGTTAGGATTGTAAGACCGACTTTTTTGGGTAAACAAACATAATGGGAGAAGACAAAGTGAAGATGGATGCTGATGCTTTTCTTAGTTGGATCTTTATTACATGGTAGAAATTCCCAAAAACAAATATATATATATATATATATATATATATGGCACAGATCCACTTAATATGCCAGAGATGGAGAGAAATTAAAAGAGTTCTTTTTTTTTTTTTTTAAAAGAAGAGATCCACTTAAATTCTAATCTACTGTTTTGCAAATTATCACTTAACCTCTCTACGTTATAGAGGGAAGAATGAATAATATTTTGCATTTAAAAAGGATGATAACGTAATGAAATGAATTACAGAAAATAATATTATTATTTTCTAATTTTATTTTTCATATGAGGTTCAATACCTGTTTTAGGACCTAAATAATCTAGATTCACGTAGAGCAATTTTATTTCAAGAATAAAATATTTTTTTATTAAAAATAAGTTCATTCACAAAATTTAACATAGAAATCTCTTGTCAAAAAATGAAAAGATACTTATTATGACGCAATTCAATAATATGAAAATTATTGTTGAAGGTTCTTCTGGTCT